TTATTCAAAATAACACAAACAATTCCAAAAAAATAACTCAATGATCAACCATAAATTAATCAAACATCGTCAAGGTTTAGGGTTCAACTTCCCCGGAACTAGAATAAAATCTAAGCTATCATAATAAATAAAAACAAAAGAAAGAGAATAGAATTATCCTCTTTCGTGTGCGGTGCGGTCTCCCTCCGCGTTTCGTCGGGCTCTCTCGCGTATCCTCTGTCTGCGTGACTTTCTTCTTCTTTTTTTCCTGTTCGTGGCGGCTGTCTTCTGTTTCTTTCTTTTCTGGCTACTTTTGCGTGCGTGAATATGGCGGCTGATTAGATCCTGTTGGCGTGAATTACTCCTTTTAATTCCTTGTTATAGTTTCTTCCGTAAATAAGACTCCCAGGCCCACTACTTCTCTTTTGTTTTTATTCTTCAATAAATTGGTAGCCTAAAGTGGGCTGAACAACACATTTTCTCCCAAGTCTCCTCAAGTGGCGTGAGTGCCTCAAGTCCAATGCGAATAATTATCAATTTTGGGCCCAATGTGGCCTATAGTGGGCCGAGTATGGGGGACTGACTCTGTAATTAGCAGAATATGGGCCACCCCCATACTGCTCCGAGTGAAATTCATTTAGTGCCACGTCGCCAATATAAATACTTCAATTATCCTGAAAATAGATCATAAAAATATCATAGCACGTGAATCCATCTAATAAATAAATAAGTCGAAAGAAATATAAGTGCAACAAAATTAAGCATATAAAAATACGCTAATAAACATATAATATACACTCTTTTTTCGACCAATCAGTGTTTTTGGCTGCTTGTGCTATGTTCACAATCTGGATCATTCGAGGGATAAATTTGCTAGTCGTAGTAGAAAGTGCATTTTTGTGGGCTATCCTTTTGGGAAGAAGGGCTGGTCAGTTTTTGATCTTGACACTCGGGAGTTTCTTGTTTCTCGAGATGTTAAATTTTTGGAAGACCAATTTCCTTTTTCTATGACACTTGCTTCTCGGTCTGATTCTGTGCCACTTGTTTCTTCTTCACCATGGCCTGATAGTGATGATGAGTCTTCACCTATTTCTGATTCTGTGCCGGCTATTTCTCCCTCTGGGGCTACTGAGGTCCGAGGGGGTTCTGATACTGAGCTCTTGGGCCGTGGTCATCGGACGAAGTTTCCCTCAGTCAGACTGCGAGATCATGTTACCAGTACTATTACCCCCCCCCTCCCGTTCACTCCTCAACCAGTTCATCGTCCTCAGGTACTCCTTATCCCTTAACTCATTTTGTTGACAATACTAATTTCTCTTCTGCCCATAAGACTTTCTTGGCAGCGATTGAGACCTCTGTTGAACCAAGGACTTTTACCGAGGCCATGGGTGATTCTAACTGGCGCT